CGTCTTCGATTGAATTCGATTTGTTGGGATTGCTGGATCTGGACGAGTGAGTGGTGCCCTTCTATGAAGCTGGATGTTGGACGCTGAATGTGGATATTGGATGTTGGATATTGGATGTCGGCTGTGCCCACTTTGGGCATATCAATTGACTGCTTAGGCGGCTGTCAGATGCCTTAACGGACAGTCTACAACGTCGTGTGGCATGTTGCTGCTGATAGATGTCCGTGATTTCGTAGAAACCGAAAGGCCAGGGCCCGACCCCTCGCCATGGGCCTGTTTATTTTAGTGCTAATTAATGGGAAGTACAAGGAGTCGTTCTGGTCGTTGCAGCTTAATTTGTCGCGCCTGAAACGGCTCGAACGGGCCAAATCCAGTTCCCAGTTCCCTGTTCCCTGTTCCCTGTTCCCCGCTCCTAGTTCCCTGTTGCGTGCACCAAGTGGGCAGCCCGAGATTGACGTGTCATCCATGTTGCAGCTGTGGTTGTTGCTCTTGCACCGCGCCTGCTCCTGTTGTTGCGTTTGTCCCTGTCACCGTTGTTGCTGTTGGGTCTGTCGCCTGGTCAAGTGGACGCCGCCGCCGCCAGGGATCCGGACTTTGGAGTTCGTCTCGAAAAATGCACTGAGAGAAACAAAATCTAGTTGTCCTGTAAGCTAAGAAACAAGATGGATAGAATGTAAAATAAAATCCTTTTTTGAGCTGTTTTAAAATAAAATAAAAAAAGACTTTTAACTTAGTGGTAAGTTAGTGGTAAATTCCTTAAACTTTTTTTGACCATTAGATTTACCTAATCAACATTAAAAACATGCCTATAATAAAGAGCTCTCAAATATTTAAATATAATTTAGGTAAGTTTGGGAATAGGTAAATGAAACTTTTGGCTAACCTTTGAGTCTGTCAAAAGTATTTCATTTATTAAGTATTTGTATGTATATTTGACACGTTTATGTTGAAAGTCAAAAGTCACGATTCGGAAATTCGTTAACAAATATCTTACAAAATTAAAAGGAGAGGTTATTACAAAACAAATGGCTGATTTACTGCTTTTGAAACCCCTTAATTTCAGTGTGCGTACAGAGTGTGGCAAGTCTCGATTTGCATATGCGCCACGCTAGATTTGCTGCTCACTTGAAGCCGCCGCTGCAATTGAATGAAAGTTTTCCGATCCGCGGCAGACTGAGTCGAGCTGACCAACGCCTCTCGGTTTTCACTAAAGTGCCTCGGCGGAGCTGTTGATTAGATTGGGCTGCGGCATTTAGCTAATTACCTCACTTGTAGAAAAGTTGTCCCCACTTTGTGGAGGCCGGCGTTGCGGGTTAAGCGGTTGACTGGAGTCGCCACCTCTTCGAAAATTAAAGTTGGTAGGAAGAGCAACTGGGCCTTTATTATGTGGATAACTTTCGTTTGACGATTTCGCGTATTATTCATAAGAATTTATGGCCGTAAAAAGTATTTATGCCTTACTGTTATGACCACGTTTGCAGGTATTTTCTCTTGGGTGTTTCCATTCGGACTGGTCTTTTATTCGAAAGTGGCTATCAGCCTTTATTAATTTTAATTCATCTGAATAATTACCCAAATAAAATAGGTAACTTACAGAGTTTGGATATTTTGACTATTTATGTTTTGAACATTTTTTTATAATGGTTTCTTACCTACTTTGCTTATATATTAAATAACAAGGCGTATATGTAATAGGAACATTGCTAAACAATATGGAAAGTTCTATGTAAAATAAAATGGTAGGTAACTGACTTAAAGCTCAGTGGTTTCAAAGAATTTATAGGAAGAAACCCATGTTCATCTACTTCATTTTGAGAAATCTTCTTAAGCCTTTACACTATGGATCTGGGAAACATCAACTCATCGAGTGCTTGAATAGACAAGAGCTCTCGCTCATTTGACTCCCGCACAATCTGCGATCAAAGTCTTGGCCCAAGTCCCCTGCCCCTGCCCCTGCCCCCCTGGATCACTGGAGGCCCTGTCAATTGTTCACCTTCATCTGGAGGACACGCACAGCCGAAGAGGCCAAACGAGTCGCCCTGGGGAATACATCTTCGATACTATGCAAATGTCGAGCATTCTGTTTTAGTTATGTGCAAATTTATTGTTTATAAAAAGCAACAGCGGTGGGGAAGCCAAGGCGGCGGAGAGCGATTGCTGCCATTGTTTTTGTTCTTCTTTTGTATTTATTTATTTTTTGGTGGTGTTTGGGGAGTTTTTTGCGAGCTGGGCGCTGTGTGTTTCTGTTTCTGTTTGTGCTCTATCATCAACTGGTTTTGGGTTACTCGCACGCACACAGACAGCAGGAAAGCCAAGATGCAGCAGCGATCACATAATTCGTGTTGCTGCCTCATCATTCTTATGCTTTTCCAAGCCGCGTTCGAGGATCGGGCTCCAAGGAGCGGGGCAGCCCCTCCGCCGGAGGAAGACGTTTTTGCCAAGTTCATTTTTATCAACAGCGGCAGCATTTTGCTGATGTTGCATGATGGGTCCACGGAAAGAAATTGCAGATTCTCTATTTACATTTATAGTGCTGTTAAGGTGCACGGTTTTGTGGCCAAGTCTTGTGTTCCGAGCCACTTTAATTGCCTCGGGTTTAGTTAAAAACGTAACTGTTATTGCTGACCGGTAAAAGCGATCATGTTTCTCAAAGCGTGACTAAAATGCATTTTACGTTACAAAAAGTAGCCAGAATTGGCTATGAGTTCTTGTTAACTTCGTCGTAAGATATTGTAATAAATATTTATATATATAAATATATAATTTAAAATATTAAATAAATGTACTCAACAGTTACTATTGAAATGTATGGCAAATCGTATAAATAAGAGTTTCTACCAACATAAGTTTAAGATTTACTGGCTTCCACTTATATAACACCTAACTGCTAAAAGATAACCTTGCACAGTCTAAATTGTTTCCTTTTCTACAACTTATTTATTGCTACCATTTCATTTTTTTTGTGAAAAGTACTACCAAGTATCCAACACCATTTCCGTTGGTTGTTATTATTAGTTGTATAACACAGAAGTCCACAGAAGAGGGATAAAAGAAGTGAGTTAATAAGTGACTTAACATTTGTATCTTACAGTAAATGTCTTGTGTATTTTTTCTGAGTGTCCTACTTGAATCCCCTTCCCGCTCCCCGCTCCCCGCTTCCCCGGCAGCTGTGTGTATCTGGAGAGACAAGCGCTCTGCGGGCCGGCATCTCACGATCTTTAACATGTTTTGTCTCGATCAGTGAAATCATTCAATCAGAACGGTCAGCAGCTCCTCGGTCGTTGCCAGGAGACAGGACACACTCACACATAGCGAACAGCGTGCTCTGGTGGATGTGAGTTATATAAGGTTAAGCCGAATCTGGTTTTGTGCTTTTAAGGCAGCCCCCAACCCCCAGCCGCCGATTGAAAGTGTTTGGAGCGCTCAGTTTTGTGCTCTGTAATGCTGCCACCAGCCCCTCGATTCTGCGCCTTATATCTATATCGTAATTATGCAAGACCAGCGGGCCAAAGAAGCCCATCAGTCAAGGCAGCGGCAGCCCCAATAACCCGCGGAAGCTGCCAATTTATGACACGCGAAGAGGCCCGGTACAAAAGAGGGCTTCCTCGAGCCCGCTTCCCATTTTTCGGGAGGTGCCCGCCGTCCCGAGTCCGTAAAGCATGTTTTTAAAATTCCATTAAAATTTATTAGCATTTCACACAAAATGTGCATAAATAACCCGGCGAATTTCGGGACTTTTGATAAACCAGCGGGGGAATCAGAATCAGGTAAGCAGAACGGCTCGGACCCCGTCCCATTTCCATGATGATAAAAAATTGGCCGTCGTCTGGGGGGCTTTGTGCATTCACCCGAGCCCGCTGAGATCTCATTTCGATTTTGGTTTTCCGAGTTTCGTGGGTTTCGTAAATCTGCGTGTGCGCGTTGCCGTTAATTGGAATTGGGGGTGGGGGAGGTGGTAACGGCAAGCCCGATAAACAATTTATGCGCAATGCTGTTTGTTTTCCCCGCTGCTTCTTGTTTATGGACGCATTATCTAAACAAATACGAAAATAACTCATTATATGCAAAGGCCATAAAACCTGAACATTTTGGTTCGTGTTCGTAAACGAGAAATTAGAGTTAATGCAACTCTGATCTCAGGGCCCCATCCCTATCCCCATCCCCTTTCTCTTCATCATCCCCATCCCCGTCCTGATCCCCAAGCCTATACCCATCCCAACTTGGCTGCTGGGTCCAAGCATGCATGTAAATAATTTGACAGCAGAGTAAATCCCAAGGCGGCCTCTCGAGGCGAGAGGTGGGGGTGGGCAACAAGTGCAAGCGGCGAAGGCAAAGCCTCAAGTGCACCGCTGAGAGCCGGAGAAAGAGAAAGAGCGAGAGAGCCGGAGAAGCTGGGCGGGAGAGTGCCCGAGAGGTCCCAGAGAAAGAGATTACCTGGCGAGACTCTTCCCAGTATTTTCAGGTGCTCGGGTTAAGAACCCAATCCAGCTTAAAGTTCCTTTCTTTCTTTCTTCTTCTCTACCCTACAATTATGAGTATTACCACTAAGCATTTGTTTGTATTTTGGATCAATTAAATTGTGTTTACTTTTGTTTTAGACTTTTTTCTAAGACTTAAATAAAATTATGAAATTAAGTATAGAAAAAGTTTTCGAGCCCTAAAAATTTATTTAAAGTTATTCACAGAAAAACGACCCATTCTTACGGCCATTTTTTTTTGCCTTTTAAATCGTCGCTTTTAAGATTTGTTATTTCAGCACTGCGCGATTTGATTTTTAATGTGACTCGAAAATGCTAATTCTCCGCGAAAACGCCTGAACTCCCTTCAAAAGGGATTACACGAATAAAGTATTCGCGGTGTCGCCTTGCCCAGTGAGCTTCTTCTTATTTACGGTTTTTCTTTTCTTTGGCGCTGCTTGTAATGCAAAGCGCATAAGGCTCCCTCGCAGCCGCCGTCTCAGTCGCCGTCGCTGCCTCGGTCGGCGTCGTTCTTAGCGCGGCTTTGTCTGGATTCCTGGCCAACTCTCGGCTATAAATGACAGGTGGCAGGGCCATTTCACTTTTAGTCTCGAGGTGTCGACGCAGGCGCAATGAACCGCTGGCTAAGCAGTGAGCTCCCCACCAAAGATCTGCTAGAACTCCTCCCAAAGCTAATCTCTTTCCCCCAGTAATTCTCCTTGGGGTCTTGACCTCGGCGATCGGAGGGCATGGAAACACCATCAAGGAGCGCAACCTGTTCGCCACCGAACTCTTCCAGACCCTGGCCACGGATCGCCAGGACGAGAACGTGATCATCTCGCCGGTCTCCATCCAGCTGGCCCTCGGACTAGCCTACTATGGAGCCGAGGGAAGAACCGCCGCGGAGCTGCAGAAGACGCTCCACGCCTCCGCGAAGGAGAGCAAGGACGGGCTGGCCGAGAGCTACCACGAGCTGCTGCACTCGTACATCAAGTCGAAGACCGTGCTCGAGATCGCCAACAAGGTGTACACCCGCGAGAAGCTGAAGGTGTCGGAGCACTTCCGCGAGGTGGCCCAGAAGTACTTCGACTCCGAGGTGGAGCCGCTGGACTTCAGCCGCGAGACGGAGGCCGTGGAGCGGATCAACCGGTGGGTGAAGCAGCAGACGCAGGACAAGATCGAGCGGGTGGTGGACAGCCTGGAGCCGGACACGAACGTGGCCCTCGTGAACGCCATCTACTTCAAGGCCCGCTGGGCGCGGCCCTTCAACGACGACGACACCCGCGACCGGGAGTTCTGGCTGAGCGAGCGGCAGTCCGTCCAGGTGCCCACCATGTTCGCCGACAACTGGTACTACTACGCCGAGTACCCCGAGCTGGACGCCAAGGCCATCGAGCTGTTCTTCGAGAACATCAACCTGACCATGTGGTTCATCCTGCCCAACCAGCGCTCCGGCCTGCAGCTCCTGGAGCAGCGGCTCAAGGGCGTCGACTTCAAGCTGCTCGAGGAGCGCTGGCAGTGGCAGAGCGTCTCCGTCTACCTGCCCAAGTTCAAGTTCGAGTTCGACACGGATCTCCGGCCCACGCTGAACAAGGTGAGGGGACTACCCATTGGCATTTCATTTGGGAGATAACATCTGAAATGGGTCTGTCTGAAATTAAATATTCAGATTGTAAAACAGTTTTGGGGGAACCGTTTCCCAGACCTTTCGTTAATGATTCACAAGCAGAAAGCATTTGTATCAACGTGGTAAACATTTTTTTGATTCAATTTTAAAGTAGGATCATAGGAAGATAGATAAAGTTTGGAACATAATCTTCCCTACAGCCATCCATATTTAAATATCTTGCATGGAATTTCTCCTAGTAGATTTTTTTACTATCTTTCCTTCCTTAGATGGGAATCAGTGCCATGTTCTCGGATGCCGCCGACTTCAGCAACATTTTCCAGGACTCGCCCATCGGCACTCGGATCACGAAGGTGCAGCACAAGACCTTCATCGATGTAAATGAGATCGGATGCGAGGCTGCTGGCGCAAGTTGTAAGTCATACTGATTTCCCTAACCTCCTATTTCCCAATACCCATTCACCCATTCTTCCCATCAATAGATGCAGCTGGAGTGCCCATGTCCCTGCCCCTGGACCCCAAGACCTTCGTGGCCGACCATCCGTTTGTGTTCATCATTCGCGACAAGCACGCCGTCTACTTCACCGGACACATTGTCAAGTTTTAATAAGCACACCACCACACATTCACTCAGATTAAGCACTTTAAACTGTAATCACATCAATAAACAAATGGGGAGTGCCTCCGCCAGAACTTAGAAGTCCATGTACTCGCACTTGTATCCCCGAACTGGTTTGCATATGCCCTCGTTCTTCACCAGGAACACTACGAGAAAGCTCGGGTTAGAAAGGGGTATCACATATAGTCGGTTATATCAGGATCCTCACTGTGTTTGCGGTGCAGGATACGGGCACAGTTGAACACCATCATGGCGCAGTAGTCCATCTCCAAGTGGCAGCCATTGAGGAAGGCGCAGATGAGTTTGCCCTTGAACTCATCCGGACACTCCACGCAGTGGGACATTGGCTCCACGACATTGGCTAAAATAAGTTTGGGAGTGGCTAGTGCCACAACCAAGAACGTAACCAAACAGATCTTCATTTCACCGCCGAACGACTCGGAAAGATTTATGAGTGGAAAGCCTCCCTTCTATTGACAGGCGAGGCGAATTCATTATTAGATGTTAAAATCCAATTACCTGTGTACTCGGCTATCAGATATGCAAGTCACAGAAACCCGTTAAGTACAGGGAGATATCTCATAACATAAACTGCAACTTGGTGGTCCGTCAGCGGTTAAGCCAAAAATAAACATTAATGTGAAAAGAGTTAAAAGTCGAATATCGGCGAAGACAATTGCAATATTTAACTTGAAAACGACAAACAGAACGTGCGACCCCAAAAATAATTCGGAAAGAGTCGGAGAAAATACCCAAAAATAATTACCGACCACTGAATGCACTGTTGCGCCTCAACATTTCCCCTTGGCTTCACACTTTAAATTGGTTGGTCATTAAACGAAAGATATATGGGGAAGATTGAAGACCTGATGTCGTTGGACCTTCTACTTTGAAAGTTTTTTATTTTTTATCATATCTATTTTGAACAAAATTTGAATTTTTTAATTTTTAATAGGACAGTGACTATATGAAGTGAATTGATAATCCTTATATATATTAAATAACTGATCATTAAAAACCATATATTCATAATAGGCATACATTAATTGCCTTTAACTTGGAACTGAAATCGATGCGTTTTTCGTTTCCTCGTAAATTAATTTTTTATGAGTATTGGTTCCACATAATTTTATGGGATTGGAATCCAAAGTGGGGAGTCAAGCATAAAAAAATAGATAAAGAGTTATAGAAACAAGTAGATCGGAGGCTGGACAAGATCGCATGCCTACTCCCGGATGCTAGGATCTGGGATTAGCTAAACGAACTGTCAGCTTGCGGGGAAACGAGTTTCCACTGCCCTCGAGGAGGAGGAGGGGGCAGCACTTGTGGCATTTGTTTTAAAAGCGCCATAGTCAACCACCATGCACCGTGCACCTGCTGCAAGTTCCCCTTTTCATCTTTCGGGACGGGCTCTTTAAAATTCCGCTCACAAGACGAAGAAACAAAGAAAACTTGTCGGGGGCAAGCGAGCAATTCTAACAAAGGGACGAACAGTCGCGAAGTTTCGGAGGGAGCGCTGCGGTCATTACAATTACAGAAAGATATTTGTCTGGATCTGCACCCATTATTTTTAGATTACCAGTATTTCCGCAGAGAGACAGGAGAGAGAGAGAGAGAGAGCGGGATCCCCAGAGATAGAGAGCGCCAGCTGGGGAGTTCGGCGTTTTTGGAGTTCGTCTTTGGGGCCGATCGAAAATGGCTTTCAGTCTGCTGCGCGCCTCGCAAGACTCTTCAACTCTCGGCAGTGCGCATGCGCGAACGGATCGCACGGAACGAAACGAGACGAGACGAGACGAAACGGAAGGGAAAGAAACGGAACGGAACGGAGCGCCCCCGCGTTTTACGTTTTGCATTTAGCGCTTTGCGTTTTTGCGCTTATCAAGTGCCGGGAATCGTAAACGGGTGAACGTGAACGGGAGTCCAGAAATTCGGGCAGCTGTCGCGTGCAGTGGCCAAAAGGAGAGAAGGAGATTGCGCCAAATAATGAAATGCCCGCCGACGGTTGAGGCAGTGTCTGTGTGCTTTTCGAGCGGCCCGGCAGTGTGCATCGATTATTTCAAATGGCCAGCCATCCCCAGCCCCCGCGGAATGTCCCCAATCCGATGCATAAATACAATTAGGCCGCGAGATCGGGCCTGACCATAGCCAAAGTTAATTCGGTCCGCGAACCAGTTTCCGCTGGTGCGCAAATATCGACAGGCAGGCACTTCGCAGATTTTTTTCACGAGCGCGCCAAGAAATAATAAATACGCCTAAGCTCAAATTGTTGTCAGTTTGTTCGGCTTTTGTTGATTTATGTGTGCGATTAAAGGAAACAGCCACAACGCAGTCAGCCGAGAAACCGCAAAATAAGATAATAAATTCAAATAATGCCAAAAGGCAGCACCCCCGCCCCTCCTTTGTTCAAGTGTCACCAGTGAAATACCTATGAATGCAAATCAAGCGAACAGCAAAGGCAAAAGACATCAGCAGATAAAACGCCAGCGATAAGAACCTCGGATATATCCTCTGCCTCCCGAACATGGATAACCCAAATCAAATGCCCGTGGAGCTTGAAAGGTGAGTGCCAGTCCGGTATTAAATCAAACCCAAATTTGTGTAGACGAGATTTGCTCACAAGCTCAACAGGACGTTCTAAAAAGTTCACAAAACTATCCAATTTGCTTGTGTGACATTCCAAGACTGCTCAAATAAATCTTTTGTCCAAAGCTGACCATAAATAAACCTAGTTTGCGCTTTTAATTTAGTCTTTATTCTGCTCTGAAATATTTGCCATTATAAACAAATTAGTTAGCTATCAAATATCATGACTGATGCTCCGTTGCTTTTAGACGTAAGCATAGTTGGCGATGTGTCCGATGAAGACGATCGAATCCTTGTACTTGATGGCAAACACGAACGGGTGATCTGCCTCGAACTTCTTGGATCGCGAGAAGAGTCCCTTGAGCACTTCGAGGAGGAAGAAATATGTAATAATGGGTATCCCATATGGGGAATGGGTGTACTTACGTCCAGTTTCCAGGGGTTGCTCCAGACCCGCTTCGGTGACTTCCACATTGGCCTTGTGCTCCACTGCATTTATGAAATGGCTAACAAACATGCGATACATGTTGCCAAAGTCGCCATCCCTCGAGAACATGGTGTGGACACCGAGCTGTTTTAAAAAGTATAATATAGTTCAGTTTCAAATTCGTAAAAATCAGCTTAACGAATTTTTTATTTAAATATTTTGATTTAAGATAGCACAATTCAGCAAGCATTCATATTTAAATTTCAGACAACTTCCAAAATGTCAATGAAGATGTCACCCATTGTTTTAAATTGAATATTTTTGGTTGGTTCCGAAAAAAATTAGTTGTAAATAAAATTGATTAGCGGTTCATACGAATATATAAAGCCATCAATAATTCACACCTGGACAACTATTTCACAAATCAATGTCGCAAAAACACTTTGCAATAATTTAAAAACACTGAATTAGCAACAAGTTATTTCCAAAAAGTTTTTGCCAAAAGGCAATATAAAGAAAATTCACAAGACTAATCCAAAGTTGTAATATTGTTTACAATAACTGTGGCAAATATAAAGTCCTTTACTGTGCACAAGCGTATAAGGTAACTTGTTATAATTCTCTGCACTGTATAGCTCAAAAACTAAGCTGTTCCTTTGCCCCAACCACTTGTTAATTATCTTATGGATGTTCTGATTTCTGGGGAATATTTACCCTTAAGCAAGGACTTCAACTCACCTTTTGAAGGGTCCCTCCAGGCTCACGGTGGAGGTGACGCTGAACTTGGGCAGGAGCACCTCCACCTTGTGCTGGCTCAAGGCTCCGATCTCGGCCAGCAGGTTCTTGCCGGAGAGGGACTGCTGCAGGGATCGCAGGCCGTCCTTGCGGTTGGGGAGGAGCAGCAGCATGGAGAAGTCCTGGTTCTGGTAGGGCAGCTCCACCACCTTGGCGTCCAGGGAGTTCACCTCGGCGTAGTTGAAGTTCTGCAGGGTCCACATGGTGTCCACCTTGACGGACTGCCCGCTGGCGGTGCGGAAGGAGCGCTTCTCGGTCTTGTCCAGCCGGAAGGCCTTCTGCCAGGCGGCGGAGTAGGAGACCCCGTTCACGATCACGCCCTCGGTGCGATCGTTGAGCAGTTCTGCGCGGAGGATGTCCGTGATCTTGCCGTTGGTCTTGGTGGCCACCGCCCGGTTGATGCCGTCTGCGGTGCGCTTGTTGTACGGCGGGTGGAAGTCCAGCTTGTCGATGTTCGAGTCGAACTGCCGCTGGGCGACGTCGCGGAAGGAGCCCTTGAACTCCAGGTTCTCGTTGATGTAGATCAGGTTGGCCAGCCGGAAGTTGTTGTCCCGCACCAGCGACTGCTGGAAGCTGCCGCTCCTCTGGCTCACCGCGTCCGCGTCCCCAGGTCCTAGGCGCATTCCCTGCTGGAGCTCCGAGGCCGTCTGACCCTTGGCCCCCACGAAGGCCAGCGCCATGGAGCTCTGGATGGTGGCCGGCGAGATGACCACGTTCTCGTTCAGCCGGTCGGCGCCCACGGCATTGTAAAGATCCACTGCCAGCAGGTTGCGATCGGCGGAGGCATCGTAGCCCAGGGTTTTGGCCTGCGACACTGAGGCCAGCAGAACTGAAAGAACCGAAGCGAAACATGGCATTAGTAGCAATTTGCTTGCGGATTCCGCCCAGTCAATTTAACTGCGCACTGAGAGAAAATATGCTGTATGAAAATTTGCAAAAAAATGCACCAAAATATCAAATAGTTAAACTTTTAAATAAATGAAAGCAAAGTAATTTAAACGCAATTTAGGTTGTCGTAAAAACTTGTTTACATGCAATAATCGCAATTAATTACACTCACTTAAGTTATCATCACAAGCACTTTGAATGCAATAATTTTTTGGAAAGCTAATCTTTGACTGTTGGCTGAACCCCTAAATTATCGTATTGATAATTAGAGAAAGGAAAGCTTTTGATGTTGCTAATTGCTATTTACACCACCTTGTCTTAACTCATTAATTCGTTTTGCAATTTAAATTTGTGTGATGGGTCTTTAAATACTTTTCAAGAAGACCATTTCTTGTTATAGCCACATCGATTAGTATCGGATTTCTTACTGTGCATAAACCAGATCGTTTAATTGGGGCTTACGTAATAGGCAGCTGATGATGACAGCCATGGTCGTCACATAAATTGTCGATGGGCGTCTCCTGGTCCGCTTGATTCGCAATTGGACTTCTCCGAGCTCGTCGGAATGTGAACTGAAATCCCAGCGATCGGCGAACGACTTTAGAGGCTGTTCCAAGTCGGATTGTACGCCAAATTCGAGCCGACTCTCCGGCCCGAAAAGAAACAACGCTCGTGTGTGTTTACAAATCATTTGTCACCTTTGGCTCGGCGCAGATGATTCCGTTTATTTGTGATTTGAGCGGTGCTGATAAGGCGATAACCCCAGTTAGGCTGGCATTGGAATCGAAAATTAGGTAAGCATTGTGCGACTCAGATCTCCACGATGTGGCCGGCCAGCAGCAGGGTCTTGTCGTTGCCGATGGCGTAGAAGAACGGGTGATTGATGACCACGGGCAGGGCTCGTCGGAACAGATCCCCGAAGGCTAGAAGAAAGACATCGGGTTACAGCTTCCCAGTCACTCGGCGATCACGGGATCACTTACAAAACGAATCGCCGGCCTGGCCTCCCTCCTCCTGGAGTTCCAGGAGACTGCTCTGCACCACTGCTCCCAAAGGGGGGCCGAGCTGGCCAAAATGGAGCTGAAGACCTCGCCCAGCTGGACCTCCGATGTGAACAGCTTCGCCAGTCCCAACTGCAAAAGAGATAATTGTTGGGGAGTTTAAAAATCTCATCCAGTTGGGTTTTGCTGCCACCAATAGTTCTTGATGATGTATTTCTGTGTGGCAATGCCCATAAAAAATACTTTTAATACTTTTGTCGGAATCGGAATGTTGCACACTTTTCTCGATATAATGTAGGTCACTCAGATTTTTTGTAGTTTGTTGCTTATTTGATAAATTTTCGTAAAGTTTTTGTTCCCATCCTTGTTTAGTTATTTTATGGAAGTTACAAATTATACTATATAAACAAATATATATACTATTTAAACGAATAATATCCGCCAAATGCTTAAAAATTTTAATTAAAATGGAAAAAGGAAAGTGCACAAAACGGAAATTTAAAACGATAATGGTATTTTTAGTATCAAATTTTTGTGGAACATAAGTTTCAAAAAAAGCTTACCTTAAATTAAATTTAAAACTTTTGTAAAACTTAGCCACCAAAGTACACATTAAACAAAATTGTTTATGTTAAGGTTCGGAAGATAAGCCAGCTTTCTTCCTACTTCTTCGCCTAACTAAATCTTATTTTACCAATTAATTTGTTTTGTGCTGCTTCATATTTTGATCGCCACTATGACCTTCTAATGAGTAACTTGTGATCTATATTCTACGATGATTAAGGGCACACCCTTTATGGTTTCAGAAACTAAAGAAAGCAACCATCTCTTTACGATGTTACAATGAAAATGATTTCGAAAGAGTTGCAAAGAAAATCTCCCTTCTTATAAGCTTACCTCTTCGAGCACCTTATTCATTACGAGGTGGTCCAGAATCCTGACCTTCGGTAGGGTGAGGGCCACCTTCCGCTCCTCGAGCTCCCGCCTCAGCTGCTGGAGGTCGGACTGGGCCAGCTTCCGCTCCAGATGGGCCAGTCCATCGGCCCGATTGGGGAATGCGATTAGCAGTCGCAGACCCGCCGAGGCGAAGGGTATCTCGATGAGCTGGGCGTCCAGAGCTGGCACCTCGGCGTACCTGTAGCGGTGCTGGCCGAACATGGCCTCCACCAGCCGGGGACGACTGCCTCCGGCGAAGAAGTTGACGCTCTGCGTTTCAGCAGGGTCAAAAGCCTGCGCCCAAGGAGCTCGGAAGGTCATGGCGGAGACGTGCAGGAAGGGGGGTGTTGTGCTCGGCCAGGGACTCCAGTTGGGAGCCACTGACCAGCTCCCCGAGGCTGAAGTTGCTGCGCTCGAGGAACGAATAGTTGATGTCCTGGGCGGCACTCGCCGCGCTTTCCCAGGCCAACCGGTGGCAGCCAACGCCCATCCGGAGGGCGAGGGCCTCGAACTCATCGCGGAAGCTGAAGGTGAAGCGCTGCTGGGCGTAGAAGTCGCTCAGCAGCCGGAGGCGACAGCCCACAGCCGCCGACTGCCGGAGGTCCGTAAGGAGGTCCTGGATGCCCTGGACCGCTTCCCTGGGACCTCTGGCATGCGACAGCTCCAGGGCCTGGCGGAGTTCCCCTGCGGAGATCGAGGAACTTCCCGCGCAGAGCAGACTCAGCGCCGCCTGAATTAGCAGGGGCGAGACGACCACGTTCGCGCTTGGCCTGCTCAAGCCCAGTTTGGTGGCCAGACGCAGGCCAAAGCGGTGATTCGAGACGGTGGCCGCCGAGTTGGCCGAGAGCTCAGCGAAGACTGGAGGCGGCCAAGCCAGGGAGAGCCCCACAAACAGGGCGGAAAGCAAGCGCCAGTGGATCATGCTGGGGAATGCCGAGCTTCGACTAGTGTTAATGATCCAGTGGCTTACACGCAACTAAGCTACGCGCTCATTCATGGAAACTCGACATATCGAGGCTTTAAGGTCATTGATTGGCGGGGTCCAAAGCCAAAGCTCGGCGCCGAAGGTCTCGGCGATCCGGAGCGATCCGATGGGGAGCGGAGATCTCCGAATTCCCAGAGAGCTCCGAATCGTTTAGAGGGAGAGCCAGCGATTCTATCCAGTTTCTTATCACGCTCGGACAATTTTCAAGTTCGGATGCTTTCTCACTCTCGATTCTACATTGAAGCACATGCAGAGTAAAAAATTGGTGGTTCTGTCTTAGGCAAATCACACTAATATGTATTCTCTATACAACTAGTCCAGATGGGGAATTCACTTTCATAAAAAGTTCATATTTCTTTTACGCTAAGAAAATAGATGAGCTAATCAATATTATTTGCTGGAAAGTGCTTTTTTTCCGAGTCATTCATTTCTTACGCAAAGATCTTTAATATTTTTTAATAATTATTTCAGAAGTCTTTCAACCAAAAGTCATAAAATTAAGATTCATTTCCATTAAAAATTCTAGGAATTTATATTCAAAAAAAAAGCACATGCAGTAAATAATATAAAAATATTAAATATGTAAATAGTAATCTGTAGAATTGAACAATCAAAAATTGATTAAACCAAAAATAACTTTTCACTTGCTTATTATTGATGTTTGATGTCTTTGCTAGATTTAATTAATGCCACCGTTATTAATTCCGGGGAACTCCGTTCTTTTGCGGAGTGTACGCAACCTTGGCCGAACGCTATTAATTATGCCCAGCTTTCAGCGGGTATTTCAATTACTCATCCGGCAGTCTTATGATTCCCCTCCTCCTCCGCCCCCACAACGGGTTTCCCTGGGAGCTCCACTCAGATCTAGTGCTCATGAGGAAGTTTCGCTGGGTTTGAAAAATGATTGAGAAATCCGCCTTTGATATGCGACTGGGGGCGAGGCGGCAGGAGGTATGTAAGTGCGAAACGGGTTTGCCAACTTACAGAAGCGGGAAAACCCGGCGGGCCGAGCTCTGGAAATCCAGAATAGCCAGCGGTCTCAGCGAGCGAATGGGAAGAGGCACAAAGCGGCTGCTCCGGATCGGAGCCGCAATCGCAATGGGACTGGCATTGGGCTTATCAGCCCGGCGAGGTTATCGAGGTTCAGTTCTCCATAAATACGTGTTTTACTTTATTGTTATTTTGACAAATGCACGCTGCAAGGCTCCCCATCCGGGGATGGAACTACTACTAGTAGTTGTACTGCTCGCTCCTCTCTTCGGGCTGGTGTATCCACGGCGTGGGGCTCTCCACGTGACCCACGAAGAGCACTGAGCTGGGGGTGCGGAGGGCGAAGACGAAGGGTCGGTCCACGGTGACCTCACTGATCTTCGGGGGCAGCGACAGGGGCACAATCTTGGCACCTGGAAGGGGAGTGGATGGATTAGTTCTGTGTTCTGTGTTCTGTGCTCCTCGAAGGGTTGGCTCTTACTGGAAGCTGCGGCCGCCTCGGTTCCCGCCTCGCCCACGTCGATGTAGGCCTTCTGGAGCACCTTCCCCACGCGCACCGGCCGGTCGAGGAGCTTGGTGAGCTGGGAGCTGGGCGAGAACATCTGGCGGGCGCCCAGCTGCATGAGCGGCTCGGTCATGTCCTGCTCGAGCTCGATCTGGAACTTGGGCAGGCGGACGCGGACCTGCTGGCGACGCAGGCTGTGGGCCACCCGGTTGAGGTCGAACTCCGGCCGGGCGAGCTGCTGCTCTAGGCTGGCCAGACTGCTTCTCTGGTTGGGCAGCAGGATGAGCATGCTCGTGGCGCTGTCCTTGTAGGCCAGCTCCAAGGCGGTGGCCTCCAGCTCGGGCAGGTCGGCCAGGGCGTAGGTGTCGTCGTTGTCCATCATGGCCACCTGGGAGACGCGGCCGTCGGAGTGGCGGAAGTCCATGGGCCGCGTGTCCTTGGTGGCGAACTCGTGCTCCCAGCGACCGCGGAAGTAGACGGCGTTCACCAGGAGCGCCTGCGTCTGGTCGTCGACGTCGCCGGACGAGACAAGCTCGCGGATCTTGTTTCTGGTCTTGTCCGCCACCCAGGCGTTCACATTGTCCGACACGTCCTTGCCGTTGGCCATGTTCACGGGCACCGTCTCGGCGTCGTAGTAGAACTTGGCGAACTCGTCGTAGCTGCGGTTCACGCCGCCCAGCCGCCGGTTGTAGTAGATCCTGGTGGCCAGGGTCAGCTCGGCGCCCTGCACGAACTCCTTGAACTTGGCCTGCCGCTCGAAGTCGATGGCCACGTTGAGGGCGTTCGTCCCGAACACGCCGGCCTCCTGGATCTCCTCGGCGGTCTTCCCGTCCGCCGCCGCGTAGAGCATGGCCAGCAGGGCGTGGACGGAGAAGGGGGAGATGACCACGTTGCGCTGCTGCTGCCGGCGCACGATCTTCTGGAAGAGCTTCCCGCTGAAGCGGTCCATGTAGCTGAAGGCCGGCGGCGGCTTGTTGTTCGGCGGCGGGGTGGTCGGCTCCGGCTTCCTAAAGTCCACTTCCTCCACGTCGCCCAAAACCTGAGGACTCCTCTGGATGCCCGTCCGCGTCCTGGTGACCTGCTGCTGTCGCTGGCCACTGGGTTGGTTTGCCCAGTAGTTGTTGGCTGCTGGCTGCTTGAACTGCGCAAAGGATTCTGCGGCCAGGAGAAGTAGAAGGATCGCTGGGAAAGGGAAACCGGGATAAGCTTGAATTAGAGTACAGTTCTTATGGAGATCGAGTGGCCGTCCACAACTCACTCGCTCTGCTCGCCATGTTTCTTATCGGTTGCTCCTGGCTGAAAACGGTTTCGATTCAAGTTGTTCTTGCGACCGTCGATCAGCTCGTTTTCAGATGCGATGCAAAACTGACTGTTGCGAAACCGATCGCGAACGGCGGAGCGGAGCTTTGTGGAGAGAACCGGTCCAGAAGCGAGCTACTGAGCATCAGTTGATAGCGGATAGCCGATAGCCGGGCAAACAGTCGGCTTCGATTCTCCTCAGTTGCTGGCGGAAGCCTCTCTTTTCTGGACTGGGAAATTCCCGCCGATTCGCATTGCACAAAGGAAAACACTCGGCGTCGCGTATGCAGTGCATTTCTGAGGGGCGCTACTTTTCCCGAAGCCGCTGGCATCTAAACCCTCGATTCGCGTAGGTCGCGATTCTAGCTGCAGTTTTCATTGCCGCCACTGTGACTCACTGCTCGGAGATTCGGCCAGGAAACCTGTTTCGTTTTCCGTCTATTTCTATTTCTGATCCACAGATGCTCTATCTCGCAGCCAACCAGCCAGCGAGCCATAACTCCCGACTTTCCCGCTGACATTTCCCTGCTGCAGCCCATTAGATAACTCTTCCATTCTAAATGCCCGACCCGAGAACTAATTAAGTATTCCCCGCCGGCGGAAGAGAATCCCCAGATAAGACCACACAGCCTCGGCTTCCCTGCACTCCCAATTATGTAAACCCGCACACGAAACGCATTTCGTATCAGCTCTTTCCCCCGACTTCCCCCGCTCCTCCCCAATCTGGTTTGCGGTGACCCAATTGCGGCGGCCGAATGTGTAAACATAATTTACTCCAATTAGAGTGCGATGCCACGCCCCCGCCCCCGTGGCACTGGAAATTGGGGCACAGGCGGAGTGCATCGGCGATATGAGTGCGAGGCAAGAAGCAAGAATGCAATCGATAAGCGGAGTGGAGGAGCAGCCGAGTTAATTGCACCGCACCAGGTGGGTCACCCCACTCCCCTCCTCTCCTCTCCACTCCATACCAATTCCACTACCACTACCACTACCACTACCACATCCATTCAGCTCTTGTGTGTGTTTGCCCTGGCTGATATGACGTCTGGTGTTTTGCCCGATCAAACAAAGGCTGGCCTCAGACTTATCGCAGGGGTTCCGAAGGTGTCCCACTCCGATCCGATCCGATCCGATCTGGCCGTATGAATGGCATGGGTGGCTCCGAGCAGCCAGCTGCATTCAGGGGCATTTCCAGATCGCTTTGAGAACCACTTCCAACTGTCAACGCAGGGCCTTAATTATCTGAGCACTAACAAACAACGCGGAGCAGAAAAGCCGCTTGTGAACTGACTCCGCGGAAGTTGGGTATTAAGCTATGAGATGTTTAATCTGCTCATGCTCTGTAATTAGATAATTTACTGAGGTTTAGGTAGGCAAGAAACGAGAGAGATTTTAGTAATGAAAATTAAATTGTGTAGCCTGGGAATATTGGCAAATTAGATGTTTGTAAGAAGAACGCTTCTTAAAGGATTTGTTTCCTTCTTTTGTTTTGATGCTTCAATGATATTTGAGTTTTACAAATAATAATAATAATTTATTCAATTTTACATTTATATTAAAGGTTTAAAACTCAGCTGTTGAATCAACCACATATTCGAGATGTGAAAACACACAAAAATAAAAACAAGGCTATTGCGCATTGAGAACTGATCGGGTTTCTACAAAGAAGTCGAAAAATTTCACCTTTAATGCATTCCTGAGATTCATTTATAAGTGCTTATCTTAAACCAATTTGAATTTTTATGTTAAGTGATTGGGTCTCACTTGACTTAAGTGAGTAATCGAATACACGAAGAGAATTTTGTTGAACCCTTTTCATCGTTGGAATGGGGGAACCAAAAAACATTTTGTGTAAACTTGAAAAGTGTTCTCTCTCAGATATTAAATCGTAAAGAATTGTATTGTAAATCACCTGCACGTTGCACATTTTCCTAGATCGTTGATATATTTTAATTGTTTGCTAGCCAGGCTTTTAACTTAGCCGTCTGCAATGTGATTTGATGCTCGAGGAAGCCCACACTTATTGCTTGTATTTTTGAAACTATTCTATCCAATTGGCTTCAATTACTTGGCCAATTACCCAGACACCCCCGCACCACAAGCCGCAGGTGGTGACAGAAACCGCATGGAAATATTGCAAGTTGTCACTGCCGTGTTGCCTCAATTAGCGGCAACATGTTGCTGCTGCGGCGACCACAAGTGCAACTTGGCTGCAACTCAGACATTCGCGTGTTGACGGAGAGGCAGTGGGCCATTAACTGGGGGAAGAGTCGGATGGGATGGGAATCGAGGGATCGGAGCGGAGGTGGCAAATGAGGAGCGATTGCTGTCCGTTGGCGGCACTTACAACAAAATCGCATTAAATTGCACGCTAGCCGCACGACTGGCGCGATTTGCATATAATTACGGCGTTAGAATCATAAAGTCGCGAACCGACCATCACAATATTTGCACTTTCAGTTTGCATCTGTGCTGGTCTTTGGCAGCATGTTGTTAACGAGCTGAGCGAAAAGCTCCGATATTCCCCGCATCCGGAGCAGCATCAATTAAAGCGACATAAAGGAAGCTTATAATTTTCCTGCGCCTAATCATAGTCGGCATTCTTCTAGCCATTGCTTTTCCTTTTCCTTTCCTTTCCCTTCCCTTTTCTTTTCTTCATTTTCCTTCTCTGCGCAGCTCGTGCATTTAGCAGCGTTTATAGAAATTGCCAGCCCGCCTTTAACTCCCCTTTCCTTCTTTATAGCTCCGCTCGCACGTAGAGAAAAAGCGTTGGTGTTTGCTAAGAACTATTGGGAATTTCTTAGCAGAAAATTAAAAAATAAGTTAAGTTAAATAACTACATTCTTTTTTATTCTCGAGTAAAGTTATACTTATACTAGATAATGAAGTTGATAGTTGTTAAGTCCTCTTCATTCGTAATATAATATTAAAAATAGATAAAGAATAAGATTAGAATTAGAAATACCTCCTCCATTTTTTCTAAGTTTCGTATACAAATTTATTTTTCACTGCAAGCCTTAAGAACGGACAGCATCCGTGGCTGAAGATTCGGGGGCGGGGTAATCGCTGTTTAAATTTGTACTTCGTGATGCAATCATTCTGAATGTCAGAGAGACCAGTGCCGGTTCTCCTGCTCCCCTCTCACCTTCTCCTCCCCCTTCCCTCCCCCCTCCCCCTCCCTCTCACCACTCTCCACTCGTATGTTAGGCGCCATAATGGGCTAGCACACACACACATACACATGTAGTGGGAGCGAACCTGGCCAACACACACACTCACCGCCAAAACACCCACACTCGTGCGGGAGTTGAGGTCAGCAGGCAGCAGTGGTTTCTGGCCATTGTTCGATACCCATTTTTGGGTTGGGCCTGCACTCTGCGTGTTCTTTATTGATCTAAATTTGCTGCTTGCAAATTTGTGGCTCCTTCTCGGCGGATTTTCTGGCCGCTTATCGCCGCATTCCGCTGGCAGTGGAGCTGGCATTTGCATTCGGCCAACTTCTGCTGCAATTTCCTTATATATTTAAGCCGGGCTAATGAGCCCGAATCTCTGGCTCTGTCATCTCGGCTGGCGGGCCTCGCTCCGCCGTTAAAATTGTAATCAGTTAACGCTTAATTGGGGTCGCGCCACGCCCCTTTTGGGGCATGCAATGGGAGTACAATGGGGAGCGGGACTCGGAATCAGAATCAGAATCAGAAACACAAATCGGGCGGAAGAACCGCTAAGCCAACCGCTAATGCCAAGCAGCCGGTGCTAACCAGCACAGCGTTTTGTTTATTCGATGTTTTTACTACGCGACTTGCTAATATATCAAAGAAGCGGACCCTTTCATTAGGGGAAAAACTAAAGCCAACACGGCCGACTAGAAAATAATGATGAATTGCGGTATTATCGCGCGGTAGTACGCCAGAACCACATAGGAAGCGGGAAACTAGAGCACTTGCTCACGAACAGGGCCAGGCCAAGAAAGTCAGAATGTCAGAAAGTCGGAGAGTCGGAAAGTCGGGGCGGGAATCGGACCCAGCTTGGGCCAGAGCCAAGACAAATATGTAATTGGCCGGGCCGCCAGACACGAAGGTGCGCTGGTATCACGTACTCCACGGCAGAGTCGGGCTCAAAATGCATCGACACGATGATTTATTTGCATTGCAAAATCCAAGAACAGCACACTGCGAAAAAGCGGAGCAGCTGCTCCGTTCCCTTCATTACAATATAAAAGAACTCAATCAAGTGGGCTTCCATTAAGTCGGCAGAAGTCAAATTAGCGTAATTATGAGCATATGTTTGTAGGCGGTAATGGCGAACTGTTTCAGAAAAGTGTTGTCTGTATAATATACAGATACAATCTGGGTTCTTGTAATTTTTTGTATACATTTGTATTTTCTAAAATGTTTTCTTCAGTGCTGTCGGGGAGAGGGAAATCCAGCACGTAGCCAGAGCCAATTTCCCGAACAACTTAATTGAATTGGGTTGTGGGGAGGTGCCGTCCAACGCGTCGTATACGCAATGCCAGGCCATCCTCCGCCGCTCGCCAGTCTCATTTGCATTTCGCATTCTGCACGCACAGCCAGCCGTCCCGTAGATCGGGCTTAGATGAATAAAGAACTCCTACTTAACTCCCTTTGCGCCGACACACCCAGGCCGCCTTCAACTTTAGCATTTGGCCAGAGAGGCCGACATTCGTTCCCGGCTCGCAATTAAAGTTGGACTCGCCGAATGCAACGCCCAAAAGCCTCGCTGGCGGATCCACCCGAGACAATTGCATTTGACATTTAGGCAGTTGGAAAGCCAGCTAGTAAGCCAGCAAGCCAGCCAGCCAGCCAGCCAGCGAGGAAACCAATTTAAAAGCGTCAGGGACCTCGGCGCTCAGCTTTTCGCTTTTGTTTCGGATTGCTGCCATAATCCAGCAATCCAGCTGAGACCCGATCGCTCTCCGCCTCGAAAGCCGCACCTTTGTCGGCCTGTCAAACTGGAAAACTGGCCAAGAGCACTCGCCCAACCGTTTTGACAATTTACCACCAACTCGGTCTCGGCTGCGACTTGGAATCAAACTCAAACTCAAAGTCGCAATCGAAGTCGAAGCCCGATTCGCGTTCGCGCTCGGACGTCTGACCATTTGTATAATTGG